GTAACCTTTTTATAAGGCTAAGGCTTGTAGGGACAACTATACACTAGTATGTAGAGGGAGGCTACGAATCTACAGACAATTGAGGCTCTACTAAGGCTTTAGTAGGTACTGAAGTCCAAGTAGGGGAGGATGTGAGATCCTTGGCCTATATACTAAGGAATTACACTACACTTGCTAAAGTAGTGTTATGCCTAAGTGTGAAAAACTCTGGTCTTAGCAGCCAAGCAGAGGGGATATAAAAACACCTCAAAACCTCATATAGATAGCCGGGCTATGAATCTTCTTTGTTAGTCAAAGCTCTCACATTGCTAGCGTTTGTGTGTTGGATTGGCGATGGGGAGGGAGGATTTAACTGTTGGCTAATTTTAGGCTTAGAGTTGTCGTACTGAGCTCCACGCTAAGATCAAATATTCTCTCTGCAAGGAGCCGACAGCAATCAGATCCGGTGGCCACCTCTCATCATGCAAAAAAGAAGGACAATGCTTTTCCCGACGGCTGGAACGGTGTTGGAGAACGGTCAGTTCTGTCAAATCTTGGATGACAAGCAGGAAGACAATGGCTTTGTGTCTCCATTTGAGAGACCCCTGGAATGCGGCCGACTTCAACAATTCCTTTGTTGTTCTTAACCAACGTTCAATTATACTATCAGGAAACAATATCACCCCTCGATTCCTCACGAAACGTTACCGGCCATGGCAGACAACACCGTCTGCCAATTCGATGTCTTTACAGGAACGCCTCTTGCTTGACAAGCACGCCTGTTGTTCAACTTCGAGACTTCGATCTATTCCTCCTCCGACTCACGCTCCAAGCGCAGCTCCTGCTATCCCAGTCCGATCTCCTTGCATTGAAAAAGCATGCCATCTATTCGCGCAACCACAGCCTTCGGCTTCTCGAGATTCCCTGACCTCGTCAGCTCTTGCACCCCGCCTTACTCCATACGCAGGATATGCAGCCGCACGGCTACACAGAAGAGAAAGAAAATTGCACTCTAGTGTATTCCGTCTTACCCATTGCAGTCCTGATCGAGTAGGAAGAACAGGTTGTGAGCGTTACGGCGAGAAACGATGCGAAGCATCTCGTTCGAGCTATCGTATGTGAGCGGAGGAGCAGTAAAGCAACATTGCATGTGGAGGACTTCGATTTCCTATCTCGACGGTGACTTGATGGGCGCAAGGACTTTAATGAGGAGAAATTCCTGAGCTGGCAGGGGACGAGACAGAAGCAAAAGAGGCACTGAGCAAGATGTGGTGATGATCGAAAGAAGAGATGAGTAAAAGAGTTAGTCGTTGGATACGGACGACTATTGCAGTCATCGTGAGATGGTTGTTCCAGAGCGAAAGACCTTTCGCAATTGCGAACGAAAGCGTTCTTCGATTCGTCTTCGTCGCTCTCAGTCGTCAGAGAGCTCGCCACTATTTTGAGAACGAGAGATGGGCTGGTGCTATGCTGCAGCGAGTAGACTATCCACGGATGTCTGCAGCATGGAACAACTTGATACAGCGTTTCCGCTCCTGATGAATGCTCAGCGGCATCGACATTCCTTCCAAAAGTAAGGGATTTAGGCGCGAGCAAGCTGCTATTAATATGGCAGGAGAGACGATGACCCCATCGCCATCTCACAAATACGAAAGACGGACTTTCCAACAGATCTCGGCAATCGATATCGACCCTTTTCCGGTTTTCGCCAACGCCACACAATCGACCCTCTGCTCATGAAAAGAGAGAATTTTGTGTCAAGGTTTGACGACGGTACCCTGAACGACCCTCTCAGATGGATCTGGGGGATGTGTATCTCATCGTTTCAAATGACAATCCTAGTCCCTTAGTCGACGCTCCTATCCCGGGGAGCGTTGCTTTGCATCTGCCTGCAGCCCTGCTCCTGTCCTACTTCTCAGTCAGTTCCCTCCATACGAGTCCCTTGTCGTCAAACTAGCCATACCGCTTACCCTCCCACTCCCGCAAACTACAATTTTCACGAAGTCGGACACCCAAACCCCTCGACCATCGGATACGCCGCCCGCAACCCCTCATTAATCCCACCGAAATCCTTCGTCTTTACACCCGCAAAGACCCAAAGCCGCGTATTCATATCCCCCCGCGAGGAGCCCTCGCACCACAGGTCATCCAGCGCGAATTTCGTCCCGATGAGATCTGCGACGTCCGCGCAGCGGATTCCACCGAGAAATGGTCGGCCGACGGTTACGAGCAGCTTCTTTTGCTCACCGTTGGAGAAGTAAGGCTGCCATTTCTTGCCGCAGTGGGATGTATTCCGCGCCACTGGAGAGCTGCGGGGAGAGATAGAGATACTGCTGGTGCGTTTGAAAACCGTCTCGTCGGCCTCGTCGGGATCACAGGTGAAGAGGATGCCCGGGTATGCATTCCCCAGAGCGGCGTTGAGGTGGGAGAGGTTTGCGTCGTCAATATCTGAGATCTCGAGGATGAGTTTGGTATTCGAAGCTTCAGAGCCCTTCGGGGAGAAGCTGATGTCGTCGATGGTCATTTTCTCGGAAATGTGTGCTTTGATGGTGGCGGAATCTGAGCCGGCGTGGTAGGCTGTGCCGATGTGGATTTCGAAGATGGCTTTGTTGCTGAACCAGCCTGGGCGGCGGGTGCACCAGGAGGTTCCTTGCTGGAGGGTGGAGCGCTTCGAGATCGATGTGAGAGTGGAGCGGCCGAGTGTTGCGTCCTTCTTGTCATCGGGCGATGGCTCCGGTAGCGGAGTAGCGTTGGCACCGCTGCTGGTCTGAGAATCAACGTAACCTCGTCGGAGGAGAGTAGCATCGGAAATATTACAGATCCCATTCTCCTCAAACGGAACCATCGGATATGCCTTCTGCAAAGCCTGAATGACCTTCTCATTCGTCTTTCGGTCCGCCGGAGTGCCGAACGTCAAATTCGTCTGCCCAAGTCCGTCGTCGATGCATTTGAATTCCACAACAATCGCCTTCTCCGAAAGTAAAGCCTTGATCGACGGGCATCCACGACCTTCGATGTATGGACGACCGATTTGTACGGCGTAGAAGAGCCCAGCGCCGTGTCCTTCGCTGCGGTATGAGGTCGTACAGGTGGCTTTGTTGGTAGGTATGGTGGGCGTGCTGGTGGAGGGGCTGGTTTGCGGAACGGGGATTGCGTGAGCGGTCGTCAGATGGAATGCCATGAGTGTGAGGAGAGCAATTGCTGGGTTGGCCTTTGCGAGAGCGCGGGTGATGCGCATCATCATGGGGAATTTCATGTTGGGTTGATGGCGAAGGAGGCTCTCCGTGGCAAGTTGCCACCTGAGCTGTTTGAGGGATGTTGCGGTGGTCTTGTTGTGTGCTTTTGAGCCTTTGTACTCAGCTTGATCAAGTTTTGTGGTTGAATGGAATATGTAGACTCAACTGTGGAAAGTTTGTTTCTTGTTGTGGGTTTGGGTCTTGCGAGTTGTCGTGGCAAAGGTTGGCGCCAACACTCCTTATATTCAGAACCTCCAATAGAAGCGGATGTGTTGTTCAGAGCAAAGTGAAGAAGCCCGCTTTGGAGCGTAGAGTTTCTAGTGACGCTGGGACAAGGCCATTGTTCACGTTTCCAGCAATGAGAGGATCTCATACCAGTCCTGGAAGTGGAAGCCTGCATAAGAAAACAGATGCATTGTTGCATACAGTGACATTTGACTGACGTGGAACTCACGTCGCAATGGCAGAGCGAGATCGATGATCCGATATGCAAAGACGGCCTTTGCAACGTCCCATCTAGTCCTGAAGTCCAGAATTCAGCACGATTTTCCTTCATGTGACCGGTGCTTGAGTGAATGAGTAACGTAAGATCTTCCGCGGGAGAAGAAATTTGTCAGCAAGTATATCCAGAACCGGCATTACTCTAACATTATCGTGACCTCGTCTGCGTTTGCGGTTCTTCCAAGTGATATGTTCCAGTTCCCTTTTCAGTCCTGGCGGTAGAGGAGAGGGCTCGAGCGAAAGATTAGTCAGGCATCTCTTGAGGAAGCCGATGGTGGACGAGCCTGTCCAGATCATGCGTACAGCGGGCAAGGGACACTTCCTGCTGCATTGATCCTAGTATCAGCGAGGGACCTTGATTTTCTGTATAGACCTGTATGCCATGCTAGTGTACATCAAATGCAACGATACTCCGGTTTTACCTACACAGAGTCAGCATGTTGTACGAGACTGACAAAAGAGTACCAACCTTTTCGAGAGACCTGTGCCATCCACTCTAACCTTCTAACGTCTGCGACTCCTCGTCCGACTACGACTACTCCCGCGGTCCTCGTCCTTGTCCTCTAGATACCGATACTGATTCGTATCTCTCTGCGACGAAACATTGGAACCTTCCTCGTCCTGGTATGACTGCTCTCGCCACTCCCGCTGCTCTTTCTTCGCATCGACATCGAATTCCGTATGTCTCACGATCCGCTTCACGAAATCCACCGCATAGAATCCCGTCATGGCAGCATCGGCGTAAGGCTTCTTGCCCGCACTCACCAGCCTTCCATTCCGGAGGGATCCGACGACGGTTCCGACGGCGGCGGCAATGGCTACTCGTTGGGCTTTCTGGCCGGTCCAGGAGCCTGGCTCCTGACGGCAGCGGACTGCTTCCAGGCCGCCAGCAAGTGCCGCGGACTTGGCAGCTTTGAGGAGGGTGTAGCTCTCGGACGGCTTGTATGGGTCGTCTTTTGGTGCACAATTCGGTGGTCGGTATCTATCTCTGGGCCTCGAGGTGGAATGAGCGCCATTGCCCCTGCGGCTGTCACTGCGGCTGCTGCTTTCGCTTCTGCTGCGACGTCTACTGCGTCCCCGTCTCTCCATCTCGGTACGACGTGGTGCTGAGCGGTCTCGCGCCCTGTCACGGTCGCATTTGTAGCCGTAGGCGTCACTTTCGGCTTCTTCCTCTTGTATGTCTTCGTGTCCGGTTCGGCCCAGGTCACCCCGGGGAGGGCGATTCAGATCAGGCTTGCCCTCCCGATCCATCCCGGAGTTCGAGGAGTCGCTGCCTCCATACCGACGATGACGGATGGTCTCTTTGGTGTATCGATGATATGGGTCCTTGCCGTTGTAATATCTTTCCCAGGCGTCGTTGGTGGACCCCGAGCCGTAGCTGCCGTATTCCCCGTTGTAGTATGGAGAGTCTTGGTACGGGACGTAGGATTTTCGACGACGGCCTTTGACAACGGCTGCTGCAGACCGGTGGTCGTCGTCTTGGCCGTTGTTCTGGATCTGACAGTTGCCAACGAACGGATCGGAATATGCCATGCCGTGATCCCGCAATGGGTTGAGCTCATGCCGGCGGAAGAAGCAAAGAGAGGCTTATCTGTGATTATGAGAAGAGGAGGAAGAAATGGCCTGATGAAGTCGAAGATCGAGTAAGGACGCAAGCGCGTATGGCATCGGTGGCCGATCTTGAATCTGCGAAAACATCCTACTGAATCCGTTTCAAGACCCTGTTTTTCGCTTGTGCTCCTCATTGTCAGACGAGTGCTGTACCGGGCGACACCAGGTCATCCATCAGCCCCATCCAGTCGACCCATGCGGCGGCAAACGATGCGTGAAGTCTCTGCGGACGACAAGTGGCCCATGTCGCTCAGCGTACGGGTAACGGATCATGCAGAAGCGGTGTAGTCTTTGCAGAGTTCATCCGCATGTTCCCCTGGCACGAAAGTCTTCTCGCAGCGCCATGCGACGCTTGTTTGGGAGGATCTGTACGTAAATGATTGTCGATTCGGCCTGCGGCAGTGGGACATCCGCTCAGGCTGCCGGGGACGGACGATGTCTTGAAGACAAGATGGAACGAATTTCCCTGAAGATTGCGCTTAGAAGCTGTTTGTATTGGTCGTTTGTATCGTCGAGTGCCTTGCGAAGGTTGAATTCTTATGAAATCCCGGCAGGGATTGCATGTTGTGTCAGCTGTTTCCAGTCACACTTTGTTACGACTCGCGTGGCCGATGACAGCCAAGCTTAACAGGCGTCAACTAATGCTGACAACGTCATTGGATGAAACATACTTCAGATCTACTTGACCCATGTGCTGGCAGCAGAGGAATGCTTGCGTCCCTGACCCAATCGGTGCGATCTTGGGGGCCGTCTCTCCCTTCTTCAGCTCGTGCCAGGCCAGCCTCAAACAGCGCATTTGTATGGCATGGCCCCAACAAGAGATTTGTGGGGCATCTGGAGAGTATGACGAGTAATGCTCACCCGAAGAGTTTCCCGGATCAAGATTGCCGCCCTTCGACATCATACTGGCCGGTTTGATTGAAGTTTTTCCGTCGCAGCTTGCAGTCAGTGGACTCCGCACCGACTGCTAAGCCCCGAATTCGAAGCCCAAACATATTGCCGACGTCAGCAACGTCGTTGTTGTCCATGAAATCCCCCATATCTAGTCAACTTAGACACAGGATCGTACGTCGAATCTTTGGACATAGTCCTTTCGTCAGCTGACGCATCGAGAGCAGGTGTGGACTGATGCAACTTCAGGGATGAGCGGCGTAGCTTGGATCATCATCGCGTCTCCAACCTGATAATGTTCACCTCATCCAGTGGGACCGGGTGGAGGCCGATTGCACCTCGTCTGTACTACGCAGGAAGTCTGGAATGCCGAGAACACTCAGCTTACTCGTATTTCTCAACCCGAGTCTTGTGGAAGAACTGTCCATCATGTCGAGGGAATCTATTGAAAATGTCCTGTATCCATCCTGGGCCAGGCGGTATGGGCATGTGCGCCGAAGCTTCTCAGTCTGAGCCCTTGCTGTCTCTTGCTGCACGAATATCATGGCTCTTTCAGATGACCGGAAGTTCCGGAAGCGATCATTGGTAGGTCGGTGCCGCTTCTATCCCGTGAAGCGATGGTAGTCGAGCTTCTGTCTGGGGTCAATCTCTTTCCAACTCTTGCTTTGCCATAATAAATTTGCGAATCGGCAAGATTGTTCCCGCGCTGATAATATTCGGGACTAAGAAGTGAGTTTCGAAATGGTACTTGCGGGTCGAGTGGTTGTTATGAAGAGCCAGCCGGATGTCCGTGCAAATTCACCTGCTAAATTGCTTGGCGCTCGGACTAGCGCTTTTCCTCGCCAACGTAGCTCCACAACATAAGTCTCAGCCACATCTTCTCCATTGCATCTTCAACATAACTACATTGAAAATCATCAACAAATATGTGTAACAATCACATCAGGCGCTGCGCGCATCGCGAGCCTCGCGCAATCATGCCGCAGGATCGACACAGACACGACGTTACCACTACGTCCGAGTGCGAACAAGGTGATTTGCATCTCTTACTGTCGCTGGAAGTGACAAAAAAGACGTGTTCAGATTCCACGCGCGAGCCCCTCGAATACTGACGGGAGCTACGTCGACAGCAAAAAAAGTCTGGATTGCAGAGATCATTACCGCACAGCCTAGCGCACTCCTCGAAGAGCTTGTCGTCCATATCCCTGAGTTCTACGCCTGCAGCAAGACCATCCCGATCGTCACCGGCTAAGGCGCTTTCGCGAAAGCTCTGTACCATGCACTGAACTCATCCCTTGGTAGCTCAGACTCTGCAAATCGACGTCCTGACCTTCTCGAAGAAGCGAGCCTGGAGAAAAGCCCCTGACAACTCCTCTCTTTGCGCCAGTCCAGTCGGATATAAGAGACAAGGCTATGAAAGATCTCCGACGGCCTTCAGTACGAAAGGATAGGACAAGTGGATGGTTGTGTGAAGCAGGTGCCTGACTAAGTGGTAGTGGCTGGAGATGACTAGGACAGACGAAGCCGGCGGCATTGTCATGAAGGCCAGTAAAGATTTTATGTCTGCTGATGATGGACGACCACATCATTGCATTCGATTTCTATTAATCGAGCAAGAGAAGGAGGAGGGAATAGCATCTGTTGCATTCTATACCGTACGTTACACGGTCAAAGTGGGGAGGGCCTTTCCTCTGCGTGACCTACGTTGTCGAGAGTAGAAGTGCCTCCGGAAAGAGACAGTCGCACGCCACAGATTGCCCGAGACAGGCGGTGCTGATCATGAAACACAGGTGAAGGCGGGCGAAAGGGGTACAGAGGAGCGTAACACGGGGGACCAATATATATTACATGTAGCACAGGCAGCAGTGCAGCACAGAAATGGCGGCTTAGACATGGATATATTGCCAAGAAAGACGGGCGTACAAGCCCCGATCCACAATTTTCGAGCCGTGGAAACACTCACGTCCCTTAGCCGCGATGATATATGTTGTTGAATCTGTGAGTAGATGTCTCGGTGTCCGCCTCGGCGGGTTTGAATCTGCATGTAGTCTACGAGAAGAGCGGTGTCTCCGTGCTCGTCGTCAAAAAATCAGCTTCAGCGGCCTCACGAAGGCTGTTCTCGGGAAGCGAAAAACGAGGACTAAGGAGTACGGAGTAGTCGATGCTCTCGAACCGCTGGTGAGCTCGAAGATTACAGCGGCTGAGTGACACGACTATCAGAAGGATGTAGGTATTCTCTTCCCGGTGTTGTCGCGTTTTCCAGCGTCTGCAAAAGGCGTCTCCTTCTCCTCCTTCTCGTCCTGCTCTGCCTCGACGCACGCCACATAACATCAACCATTCAAAATGAGGGGAGATGGGTCTGGAAAATCAGAGCACGGATTGATTCGATTGAAGTTGTGGTGACGGGCTCTCATAAAAGGGGAAGAATGTTTCTCGTCTTCATTACGGTATTTGACAACCTCGAATGAGGCCTCACATACGGATTACAAAAATTCAGCAAAACTTCAGGCGCCGAAGCGCCCTATCAAACTCTGCCCCGAAGGGTTGGTTTGCTCCGATAGGCCATTCCCTCCTCTTTCTCCTGCTCGCCGCTCTGCCCGCTGTGCCCGCCCCTACCTAACCGGCTGCGCCTTACCATTCCACCACGCGTCACCGGACCTAAAGCCGGTGACGGAAGCGAGACGACACACGCGCATTATAAAGCTTTATTGGGCAGTACCCGAGCTTTACCCGCTGCCAGTTACCCTCGTGGGGCACGAACGGTCATTCAGTACGCTCAAGGACGCTGGTAGACATCGCAGGAGTGAGGTGAAGCTGGTGGTGCCACCGTGTTCATTGTATATCACTCCCCCTTTCGCACCACGATTCAGACAGTCGTTATTAAGGGGGTTAACTAGCATGATTGGTCTGCATTCGCCTCTCTTCACTACATGCAGTGTATTCACTGCAGTCATTCAGGGATCTTACGCCACTCCGCTCCACGACACGCAATCCGTCACCCTTGAAGAGCAGACCAGGACTAGAGCGATGTCCGACCACGCCAGGGCCCTTGATGTCCCCATACCCTCTGCAAGACCATGTCGCGGCTCGCAACGTAGCTTGATATTGGTACAAGATAGCTAAAGCGACGGATACACATAGGAGTAAGCCAGGCTCTAGACCGCTGGTCGAAGATCATATTGAAGCCGATGCAGCGTACGTGGCCTCAACATAGGGGTTAAGAGCATGCCAGTACAGTGCAGTCCTGAGGCTATTTTAGGAGCAGACGCACGGAAATGTTTCTAGTAGCAGACGCGAGAAACACAGTTACCACACCCTATATAATGACAGGCAACACATACTCTCGAATCCGTCGAACCAGCCTGGGTACGTGGTAGGGACTCTTGCAGATGACACCGACGCACGACTCCAAGGAATCCATCGAGCACCCCCATGGCTTCGCACACCATCATGGAGTGTCTACAACATCTAGAAAGCTACGAAGAGCGCGCATCACCGGTTCTGCTTGCACATCACGTTGGGCCCCGTGGGGTTTCGTATTTATCCAGGGCCACAGCATTTCAACAAGGATGTCCCGGTTCAGCGAACGGTAAAGTCGTTGGACGCGTATGCCGAACAGATGGCCACAGACTTGACACTTCAAGTAGATAGTACCAGATGTAAAAACCTTCATCTCGACCTTCCTACTGACAGCCGGATCTATGCTGCTGCTATTCTTGCTCCTGGCGTTCTTGGTTTCCCTGTGTCTCTCCCTCCATTTCCGGTCACAGCTCAATCTCTTGCGATGATCCTCCGAAGCTGCTCTGAAAAGGCTGCTCTGAAAAAGCTGCGTTGGAAGCATCTAGAGAAGTGAGAGAAGTCTTTCGTGCAGGTGTCTGTAGGATTATGGTTCGACGCGGGCGTAGAGAAGTCGGCCGAGAGAGAGACGGAGGAGAATTGTATGGCTTTCGAGAAGCCTTCGTATATGTATTCTGGGTGCGTAACGCCTTCTGCTTCATTCTTGCGGCATTGAATGAGCAGCGGAGCTTTCGGGGCCAGAACTGCGTAGCTCCTGTTTTCAGAAACCACCACGCTGCAGACTGCATTGTTGTTCAGTTCAGGGACAGGAAAAGTCTCCATGCCGGGTAAGACGACCTTCTCTGGGCATATTGCAGTGATCAGGACAAGATTGGGGGTGGTACTTCGAAGGCCAGGGTAGGAAACCCATCGCACGTGAGAGTACTGTATCAGCGCATCTGCTCCGTCGCCTTTTCAAGCCCCATGGACCTGTACCACGTGATTTCATCTCCGCTGAATGGATATCTAACTCAAATCTAGCAGCGTCGCCTCTGCTTGCCGCATATCTCCTGCTTCTCCCATCCCGTACGTCCCTGGGTACTGCATCTCTTTTTCCAGGCGACCGTGATCCCTCAAAGCCACGCTTAAACTCTCAGCCTCTCTCAAATCAACGTTTCAACCGGCTGCTTCAACTCTTCGAATGTGGGAACGACGACAGGAGCTACGGCTGCGCTGTGATTTGGGAACATCTGGTCGAAGAAGGGGGTTTCCAGCATCGTAAGGTAGTTCGAGGGGCTTCGGAAGGTACTCGGGGATTGGACAAATCAGGTTGTGGAGCCCTCGGAATGAGGGTTTCCTCGAAGATAGAAAACCGCAGATTAGAAAGCAAGTTCGATTGCCAAGCAAAGCATGTGGTCCGTGCGTGAAAGCCGATACGCATGTGATTGAGTCCCGTCCCGATTCTTTCTCGCTGCCACTCGTACGAGGATACCATGTCCATCGAGCTGTGCCGATCAAAAAGGCTACATTTTTTGCCCTCTGTCCCACCCGGAGGCTGAGAACGACCCTACGAGTCACTGGATGACATGAACGAGGGCTTTTTTTGCTAGGGCGGGTTTGTAGCAGCAAAACGCCGGGGCATGGGATCTAGACTTGCATCTTTGCTGGCCCGCTAAAAGTTCACATATGGGAGAGATCGGCAAGCGCATGAGCATTCAAAGAGGCGATGGAATAGCACAGCACTAACGCAGGCTGGCGGTCACAGCAGAATCTCGCAATCGAATTACTCGTACAGAACCAGAACCCCATCGAAACACCTCTCTGACCCAGTCCGAATCAAAACGTGATCCATTCTGAAGTTCTCACCTTGATGCCCTGATTGTTCACGATGTATGGGTGCTGATAGCGTAGTTGGCTGCGTGCGCGAGCCCTTCGCCAGATACTACCCGCAAGGCTGACCATAAGCAAGCACACATATGGCCCTCTCGAGGAAATTGACCCGTACGCTTCGTGGATCCATTCTTTGCGTGTATGCTTCCAAGAATATCGTGTTCTAAGCCAACCCTCTCCTTCATCTGCTTGTCTTATGGGATGATATGTTTCACGCCTCCTTCGCATGATCTTGCTCACCATCGCGGCGTTTCCCAGGCCCTGCAACTTGGGTACCACCAGCTCTTTTGCGACTTCATTTTCTTTGCCAGACCCACCGTTGCGTCCATCGTGCTGTTGAGTGGAATTGTTGCTGAGATGAACATTGCCTGCGTGTTTCGGTGTGCACGTCCCGCCACATCGCGGTCGCATTGTTCTTGGAATGCCATTGCAGAAGACACGCCGAGAAGGAAGGTATGCCTGAGCCTGAGCTCGTCCAGCGATCATGCCAGATCGAGGCGCGATCATTTCCTGTGCACACTGAACTGCTGGAGCGCTGCCTTGTGCACCATGTACCGAGAATCCTTGCCCTGCCAAAGGATTGGGTCTGGTCGAGTAGCCCCCACTCCGCCGGGACAGTGGCTGACCAGGTCCTCGACAATCAAGACAGCCTTGTTCCATTGGTGAAGTGTTTACGAGAACAGTCTGTGATTGTCTGTGAGAAGCAACGAGAAGTGGACGTTTGATCCGGTCAGGAAAGGGAAGGTCTTGAGCACTTTGCCTTCGTAAGCACAAATTGACTCCGTAATGTTGTTGTCCAGATCTGCAAATGGCACGAGCACACCTAGTCTGCCGCATATCGCTCGGAGGTTGTGACTCGGGGGAATCAGATCCTGTTTCAGAACGGGCACACAGGAGACGATGTGGACGATGCTCTTCTCGTGCGCTTCCACCTGGATCGCGTTTCGTAGATTCGATGAAAGGTCTCCAGATGCATCAAGCAGCCGTTTGTCGGATATATCCCGATCCAGTCCTGTGTTGGAATCAGCAACAGCTTGGATTTGTTGGTTCGGGCGAGCGCATTGCCTACCGTTGTATTTGCTTGTCGAATTCCCTCCTCCTGTTACCAACGACGCTTCTTTCCGAGTGTCTCGACCATAGCGCCAGGGACTGTGCCGAGCAACGTCGAGTCGGGATGTGCATGTGTGCGTGTGAGATGCCGAGATGCCAGGAATAGTTGAGACCGGGAGAAGACGTGAATCAAAAAGAGAGTAGCGTCACGCGCTGGCAGGCCAAGTCGTCTTCACGTATGCCGACGTCACGTGGGCCCCTAACTAATATGCGCCAAGTTGAGTCGTTGCCCTGGGCGGCTGCTGAGAGGCAAGGTTGCCTCAGGCTGACCCGTTGGTCTAAAGCGGCTCGAGCGGAGATCTGGGCGTTCCATATGCTCACCCACTTTCTTTTCCACCGCATTGCCTTCGAGAACGTATTCAAATACTGCTTCTCGGACAAACATCGAATTACTACAGCCAGCGAGTACCACCGCAGCGGAAGAGAAGCCGGAAATCGAAATTATCACCAAAATGGCGCCGAATACACCCTTGTCGCCCACGTCAGTCAAATCGACCTCTTTGAATTCTATGGGACACAACAACAACATTAAGAGTGTGCAACAGATCGATCTTAGCTTTCGCACTACGATCTCGGTGTCAATTGACACCAGATCCAATGCTGAGGTTTGCGAGGACATAGACCTAGATGCCGGATCTGAATACTTCCGCCTCTCCCCGCCTGGAACGGGATCTTCACACGCCGACGACGATAACGAACCAGAGCCGGCACGAAAGAAGCCTGCTTCAAGAAAGAAGAGGGATAACAGACGCTGTTGTGTCTGCCGTGGTGGTGAACAGAGCAAAAAGATAATCGAGTTGCAAGATCCGCTTGTTTCATGCTCAATGCGTAGGACACGTGAAGGAGTATCGCACATATTCAGCCACCCAACGATTGATCGATAAGTTTGAGGACTAACAGACCATAAGTCTGGATCTACGTAGACTTTACGAAGCTACAACATGCAGCGAAGGCCAGGGAGAAGGCGGCAGATCTCACGAGGGGGCATGTGGATCGCCTGTTTCCCTCCCCCGCCCAAGGATGCGCCTCGAGGCCCACGAGGGGACATCCACGGGCTCAGCACATGTATGGCCGACGTGTGGGCTGCAGAGATCGTAGAGTATGGCCATGCCATGGAGAGAAAGAAGAAGCAATAGATGCACGTTTTGCTTGGCTGGAGGTGGGTCCAGCCTACGCTAGCTTGTGAGCGTGCGCGATGCAATCGTGACACCTGTGCCGATCACACGCTCTGCCGACTTGACCATCTGCACCTATCGGAGACCAGGATCATCATTCCAATTGGAGAGATCACCAGATCTGCCTTGGCGACCTGTCATACTGACTGTAGGCCTGTGTGTCTACCTTCTTCGACCAAACTTTCCCGATCGAGATGACAACAGCACCAGAAGTACTGCACTGACACTCGATACCAGGTCGAGCTACTAAAAACATGCCTCTAGGCTTGAGATCATTGGAGGAGGCTTTGCAATAGACAGCAATATCATTGCGATATCTCTTCAAGCCGCCGGGGCTACACCTACACAGACTTGATCGCCACGAGATCCAGCAGCAAGAGCCACCGAGATTCGACCCGCGGTGACACAGGACAACTCCTGTTGGAAGATGAAGCAGATCGCGAGGTAAAAGCGGCAGTACGGAAATGACCTGTTAATATCGGAGCAAAGCCTCTGACCTAGCGCGAAAATGGAAATGCACGATCAGAGACTTTCCAGACGATTGAGCTGGCAATAACTCACCGAAAGGCCTGCTGCAAAGGCCCTTCCAGATCCCCATGTTCCATGATCGACGAATACGGAACTGGGCAGAGTAATATCTTGCTTACCGAGCGCTCACACGTCCCAACAATGCCGGGTTTCCCAGGATATCCGAGCCTGCACCCTGCAAGATAAGGAAGATCGACCAGATAGTGTTTCTCGACGATGCGATGGATGTTCTGCAATCTTACTATCCTCTTGCGCTGCTGTTGCCGTCGTCAAACATCAGCTCCAAAAGCACGGTGATCGCAAACTTGAGCGTCATTCCATCGAAACTCCTGGCACGCATCTCTCGTCTGCCCAACCACGCTCTCTTGAAATCACCTTCCATACTCAGGGCCCATGAACCGAATGACCTTGGAGTAGAGTACCGAGTCAATGATTTCTAGCATGTGCAAGTCGAGAAGGCTTCTGAACAGGCTGAGGTCCTTTTGCGCTTTGAACACAAGACTGCGTTGTCCTTGCGATATCGTGAGATTCAGAATGAGTTGCTAACGAGAGGCGTTGATGCTTATTGCGGATGCTATGTGCAAGACTGGGCTGCGTTACTTGTCGAAATTGGCAATGCCCCGAGTCGCGTTGGTTATACCTCTTTAGCTGGGAATACCCAAATGCGATTGTCCTGCTTCTCACGCAAGCCCATGTCCGGAAGACTCTTTGTCTTCCGCAAGTGGGGGACCGTAGTTCCCTCGGACTCGTCGATCAACCTCTCCAAGACCTGATGTCGACCCTTCTCTTTATCTGTCTTGCTCCGTAGCCTCCGCTTCAATGCGAGCATCTCACGGTAGTAGCCACGAGTCTTGCAGAACGCGATGATGTTCTGTAACTCGGGCACTCCGGTCCCCGACCAAGACCAAAGTATCGTCTGCTTCATCGCCTCCTTGCGTAAGTCCCCGTCATAGCAATCGTCGGCGATGCTGCGGAACTCATTCTTCGTAAGCGGCTCTTTCTTGATGTAGTCTAGAATCCAGCCACGAATGTTGCGATTGAGGTACCGAAGCTTGTAGTCGAGGTCAAAGCATGATCTGCACGATTCGTTAGCTGACTTCATTCATCCGGCAAGAGGGAAGTGGGAAGCTTACAAGGTCGCGTAGAAGTCGATCATGTCTCTGAACGTTATGTAGCCCACGGCTTCAAGCGGCAATGGACTCGGGTCGTTGATGTCGTTGTTTTCCATCCAAGTGCAGATAGTACGAGCGTGGAGAGGATTGCATTTACGGTAGCCGAGGATTAGATCGTTGTTGGTGTTGATCTGCCTGCGAGCGGTATACGAGAAGTGACGAAGGTTGGTCGCATCCAGCGCGCCGATGAAGGTCTCGCTGCGGTTGTTACGATTCTGGACGTAGACATGGACCTTGGGTTGGAGCGTGGATGTGCGTCGACCGGACATCTTTGTCTTGTATCTGTTATGTGTTTAGAGGCAAGTTTGGAAGAAAACGCGCGCTTTGGTGTTTTGTCCGTGACTTGATGGAGGGAAGGCTACCAGTGAGAGTAATATATACCTGCGCGACGCCGCCGTGGGTGAATTTAAGCCGTGGGTCAAGTTAATTGACACGTGACGCAGCCTGCTGCTGCTCGACATTGGAGCCTCTTGATTGGAGCGGAACAGCTTCGTCGTACATTGCGGCGGGTGAAGGCGACGCGCAGCGCTGGAGCCAAGAGGCAAACAAGCAATCAGCTTCACCCGCTTCCAGTGATTTAAGATCCACAGTAGGCTACATTCACCGTCACCAGGCTCCCAACTTATATTGCTCTGACATGTGAGCGTATATTGACGATTGAAGGTGAATGTGATTGTCCCGAGCCGCAGCGCTCCAATATATATACTCCATTGCGTCGCTTCTCTCCACGACAAACTTCTCAGTCACATTGAGACCTTTGATTACCATCAACAACACCACAAACAGCTTTTCTTCGACCAAAAGCTCTTTCGAGACAACAGCAATCATCGCATCTGAACGACCATGGCACCTGGACAGACTATCGCCGTGTACATCCGCCGCCCCGGCGACCCAAAAGCGATGCACATCCTCACCATGCCTCGCGACAAACTGTGTCGCCATTCTCGCGCTTTCCGTGCATTCCTCGAGAACGTTAAGGTCGAAGATGAAAAGAACCGCGAGATCATTTTGCCGAAAGGCTCACCTGCGGCTCTGCGCCATGTCCTTCAGCTCCTCCTCGTATATCGCGGAAAGCAGGAGCTCTACATCAACCTCCGCGACATGACGATCAAGCAATCGGTCATGATCTGGGACGCCGCCAACGAGATTGGCATCGAACCCGTCTCTGCGCGCAACAAGATCATGAGTGTGCTCGCCTGGCGTGTGTCTCACGAGAAAATGACACCCGAAATCATGCAGGCGGTTTACGACGTCTTCGAACCACACCGCAACAGCGAAGACCTAGAAAAGAAGAAGCTTTGGGATGTACTCGTCCATCAGTACGTCTGGGATACTTTCCACGAGCGCTTCACGGAGGAAGAACGACAGGCACTCGAGTCCGTGTACGTCAGCCTCCCACCACTTGGCGTGGCCATTGCGAACAAACAGGACGAGCTACGATCAAAGAAGGCACAGCATGAAGAATGGGCGGAGAAGAACGAGATCCGCGGCAACAATCGCAGGGAGAAGAAGACCACAGAGCGAAAAGCGCACAACGAGGAAGAGCGAATCAATCGACAAGTTGAGGAGGTCGTCAACGGTCTTCGCCCGATGAATGCCGAGCTGCAGCCGTACGTTCTCGCTCGTGAGCGTCGTGCCGGTAGTGATGGCGACGCATACAGTCAATAGAAAAAGAAGTCTAGAGACGGATGAAGCGGCGGGAACAGACAGAAGAGAGCTTGCGCAGGATACAGATGCAAATTGCAACCCATCAGATACTTTGACCTGGAACAATTGATCTTTTTATGCTCCTCTTCCTCGTACCTGACGCATATGGATGTTGTGCACGTTCATTCTTGTTTCAATCCATTCATTGGGGCCCTTCCCGAAAGAGTTCAGCGTGTCTGAGAGATGTATTCTTTGTTCATTGTAGTGGTCAAGGGCCCTCGCCACCAACAATAGCCCAACCACACCGCGATGTGGGAGAGTCTCTTTGTGCTCAAAACGGCAGAAATGCGAATGACCTTGACGCTTACCGTAATGTGGTCTCAATAGAGAAGTTTGATATACGACGAGTTCCTTCGCGAGAAAGCAAAGCTCAAACAAAAACAAATACACACAACAAGAAACACACCACCAGCGCAACAGCAAAACAACATGTATCATCCAACGATGAAATTCTTCCTCGCTCTTTTTGCGATGCTCGCCTTCGCATCCGCCACAGACATCGCCCAACAATGCTCCGCCAAAAACCCGTTCGTAACCAACGCCATCGGCAAATTCTGCCAGAATAAAGCCCTCCTCGTCCCATCCGACTACGCAAGCCGAGGAATGGAGGGTAAATATCAATACGCAAACGTGATGATTCTCGGTAAGGCCCTTCACCATCAACCTCTTGTTTTATTCGCTGACGGTGATCTAGGTACCTGTAGTCCACCCCAATGGGTCCCACAGGAGTACTGTATGAGCCAGTTGTATGATATCTGCGCCAAGGGCGACAAGTTCGGAGAGGGTAATGCGAGATTCGGGAGGAATAAATGTCAGGAATGGAGGATTGTGGCTAGTAACAATGGGAAGCAGGCGAATGTTGGGAAGCCGAATTAGTTGGACTGATCCACGCTCTCAGCTCCCCACGAGCGATGAGCAGCTGAGGATACGTGTAGTCGGCTAGTAATTAGGCATAGTGAATGGAGATCCCGCTTTGCAGAGAGCTGTGATTCGGTATGAGTGCCTTGAAATCTGAGAGAATGGTCAATATGCAGTCGACGTTGACTAGCACATTTCCGTTTGAATACGGGCATTTGAAATCAATGGCGGTGCGGTTCAGAAGAGATTCGTGAGCAAACCGGTCTCCTACGCATCTCCCGTGTCGTCGGGCAAGACCAGCTGGGATGCCGCCTTCGCTCCTCCATGACCAGTATGGCCCAGGAAGAACTCCTTCAGATCGTTTGCCAACCTCTCCGGCTTCTCCAAAGCCAACGAATGCCCACATTCCTCGTAAAGCTCATTCTTCTCGACTTTCTCCGCAAACTTCTCCGCGCACTCCTTCACCGTCGGTCCAAAGAACTCAGGTGCCCCAATGGTCATAACGGGAATCGTGAGTTTCGTCTTGGCCAGTTCCTGGTTGAGATCGCCATTCTTGAACCCAGCACGATAGGTTTCCAAGATGCCACGCAGACATCCCGGCTGCTTGACGCATTCGATCCAGTGATTGAGGGCCTTTGGTTCGATGAGAGTCGGATTGTAGCATTCTTGCTTTATGAACATTTCCCAGAACTCTCGCTCGTGGCCTTGGATCAGCATTTCGGGGATGTGCGGGATTGCGAAGAAGCTAAGATGCTGTCATCACTGTCAGCAGAGCGATGTAATTCCATGAAAGAGAGACCTCGGCCTCCAACATACCCAACACCACACTCCCGCTTTTCTGTATTGCGCCGTGACATTCTCTCGTGTCCAAAAGGATGATTCCTCAAGTCCCAGTCCAGACAGTAACATCTCGCAGAAGGATAGCTTGATTACACGATCACGATACAGGCCCGCCACGGCATACGCATAGTCCGCTCCACGATCCTCGCCGTGAAGGTAGAACTTATCGTAGCCAAGCTGCGTCATCAGCTCGGCGACGTCGTCCGCCTGCTCCTTGGAATCGTAGCCATCGGTCGTAGGCGGCTTGTCGGTGTATCCAAAGCCACGAAGGTCCGGTGCTACGAGCGTGAAATGTGCTGTGAGGAGTGGAAAGAGGCGATACCAGTAGAAGCTGTTCTTCGGTGTGCCGTGTAGGAGGAGGAGAGGCGGTCCCTGGCCGGCTGTGATGTAGTGCAGTCGGATACCATTGACTCTGGCCCGTCCGTGCTTGACCGGATTCCCGGCATGGTCGTATGTCTCTGCGAGATCTGCCATGGTGATTTCTTGTGTTGTCTCCGTAATTGGGACATTCGCGCGAAACGTGTCTCCGTGATGTGTCTGCTTCGCAACTGAACCCCGCACTGAGATCGTCATTGCAACACGCCGGCCGAGGATGGCAAAGCGGGTAGGCGGAGAAGGGCTTTCGAATGCGCTCCACGAACAGATTGAAAACAAGAACCGAATATCTTTCCTTGATGGACAAGACAATAAGGCCACATTGATGGACGCATTTGAAGCTTACTTGTTTCCATCGTTGATGCCATCGAGTTGGATTCCAGAAGGTTGGCGTCCGGAGCAGACAACTCGCTGTAGAGGAGCAATCGACTCAAATTGATGCACGGGTCCGAACGCATACACTTATGTGTTTTGTACAGGAGATGAGATGGTGTCGTGGCAAATGTGAGCTTTGAACCGGGGTAAGTCCTCCCACAGCGCAAACCTTATCCCGACTTCACCTTGCGTGAGCTTTTGCCACATCCTTGGCCGCAGAAGCAACGGAAAATTTGCCAAAAGGCGTAATGCAACTATTAGCAAAGCATTCTCGCGCAGAAGGGGAACTGGCGTCGTCAGGAGTGCTGATAGGAATCAGTGCAACACACCGCCAGTCGCGAATCGGATGGCGCCAAATCAGCTGCAGCAGTCGTACTCGCAGTCTCTGAGGAATATTCACAGGGGCATCCATCGAGTATCCAGGCTCCAGAGCGCCTATCAGGCAGCATTCGTACATATGGAGTATACCTTGCTGTACCTCTCTCCAACGAGTCAGCGCAAGTTGTTTGATGCCTTTCTTTTATTCGCCGCAGTGTGCGGCACAGTTCAGTTATCGACTCGCATCAGCGCCGAGTGTGGCCTCGGTGTAATTGGAAGATTTTTTGCAGGACAATCCATATGGCCGAGCGGTGTTTCCCGGTATTTCGAATTTGGCCTCGGGAATTCGGTGACATTTTGGCTAAGTTGCGCAGGATTGAGTACCAGTAGAAGCTCACAGCTTGTAGGCGGACAGAGGCGTAGGTCGCGAGGACCATTTCTGCTTTGCATGGTCACAGCTGAAGAAGTCGTCGATTGAGCGCACTCTTGGGGTCGTGGTCAGTGTGGTAGTGACCTGTCATTCAACATTTGGTTGGAAATCTGGACATCTTTGTCGACTTAACCCACCTCGCTGACCCTACACGCTGGCAACCGACAACCTGGTGGACAAGACAAGCTGTATCTTCCGCGTACTGCTTAGCCTCTCGTTCTGACAGAATGTCGCTGTGTCCCAGTACCTTTCATTTGCATAGTGCAAAGTGCAAACTTCTCCCACTTGCTCTTCCTCCGTCGCAAGATGCCAATTGGATGCGCTCGCCTTGGATATGTGGCTGGACTTGTGCAAAAGCTCCGTTGCGCCTCGGTGAGCTGCCGTCTCCTCGATAATATACGCGTATTTCTCGACTCTTGACGAGATGTTGATCTGGCCTTAGTAGCACTGTGTTGAGACGCGTGGACGATGTCAATAGAGCAGCAGGGGGAAGAAGCGCGTGCGGCTTGTGTCGGTACGGCACTATCGATCCTTGCCCCCTGCACTGACAAATGGAGGTGTCGAAGAAACCAAAGTCGAGACCCGCTGTTATCCTGACGTAGCTTACATACCCTCTCGACCTCGTAGTATATGACCTGACTTCGCGTAATCGAAGGGTCTCTTGTCCTCGCTTGTCCTCGCACAGCTGAGACTCCGCGGAGGATGAATCCGACAGAGACTGTTTCCTGCGCAAGTCAAGCGCCGTCATTCAAGACGTGAGCATCCTATGGCTCTAACGCTCTGAGCTCCTGACCATCGAGATGACGCACAGTGTAGTCACTGCAGTGCTCTTCCTCGTGTTCTGATGTCCGTTGCGAGGAGGTCGTGTGGCGCGGACCAAGCTAGACCCCTTGAGCCCATCTGAAGTCCTTGGCTTTCAACGACTTGCCGTCGTATTGTGCATCTCCGAAGCTGACACGAAGGTGCGCTCATTCTCAAGCAATGGGGGATGAGGTAACAGTACGCAGGACACTCAAAGTTCTCACTGGCTACTCGCTCCCCGGTATGGTCCCGAACTAACTTTGTAATAGGAGTCCTTCTCCAGGCAGACATCTTCGTACATCTGGCTGATAAATCTCCTTGCGCTGCCGGGGCTTTGTCTCGGGGCAATGCTGGCCCTGCTATTCTATCTCATCTCACACCTTCCACCTGCCTCTCGTAACGGTTCAGCGTGTCGATCTGAGTATTTTCAACTTGCCCACTGAGGGCGCACATCAGCTTCCGTGGTTGGCAGTGTTGAGGGGCCCAATCGAGTCCGTTGGGCCAATTTCCCGCCGCACACGGAGAACTGTCCGGGTGAAGCTCGATCATCGTGTGAATTCTTTGTCTTCATGTCACCGACGCTCGCTCTCCTGCCTCTAAGCATGTCCCGTCCAGTCACGCCCCCTGCCGGCCAGCTGTACTTTTTTGATCATAATTGTGGACTTTCGGCACGCTCCTCTTGCAGACCAGTAGCAGGGGGTTCCCCTTGGTGAAGTTAGTGTTGTGACCACCACACTGCTCTTTCCATCAAGTGCACAATGGTCTTTCCCTGCACCCTACTTCGCCACGCGCTTCAAAGTCACGTTTCGCGCTCTCTGTCCCCGTTTTCGTTCTTTGCGTCAGCCCTCTCATCGGCTTCGGTGGTCTCGCATGCAGATATGTCGGAGCAGACAAGAAAACCTGCCAGCCCTCCTGGTGCTGCTTTGGCGGAGCGAGACTGCCGATGAGCTTCAGCGTAACACATGCTTCGCCTTTGACCTTGTGCGCGCGATTCTGAGCACGACCGCAAGCCCCACGTATCCGCATGCTGACTGTTGTAGCTTTGCTGGTTTAGGAGAGTCGGATCTGGCGAAATTGACGATAATCGGTCGCCTGGGCTCAATGTAGCGCGCGTGAAGAAGCGGTGTAGCAGGCGTAGGTCTCGTATATCTCCGCGACATCATCTCCCCGCTGCGCATCCAAGCAGACAGCCATAGCCAGCTCACCTTTCTGGAAGTATCTCTCATCGCGGCAGCTCGGTGTACGACGCGGATACCCGAATGCGCCCTCCTAAGCTTTTCTGACGGACCTGTTGGCGGTTTGCCTTTGCCAAATTTGCCGCTCCTGTCCATCTATTTCGGTTTCGCTGAATACGCATTGCCTTCTGGCGTTTGTCTGCCCTTTCTAGCTCCTGTACTTTGGAGCTCCATGTATGCCGTGCAGATTGAAGCTACAAAGCATTCTCACTGGCGCTGGGGAATGGGCGGTGGACCGGTGGCGTGAGAGGTCTCCGGCGAGGCTGTGGCGCGTCGAGCAGCGGTATCAGGAGCCAGCGCAAACCGGAGAGCAGTGTCCGTACGAGTGTCAGCACGACACTAGCACGAGGATAAGTCGGACGGTGCAGCTGTTGGAAAGGATTGTCGGGATCTTGTCCAGGCAGAAGAAGCTTCGGAAGGTCGTGTTGAGGGGCGGATGAGTAAGACTGTGTGCTTGACTGCGGAGTGGTATACTTCTCAACCTGATCTACCGGCGTGATCTAACGATGTTGGTCTTCCTCTGATCACATGCATTGCGAGGCGCGTGATGTCGCGCGTTGCTGCGTCGCGTCTAGAGCAGTCAACCACAACAATAACAACTTTCCCTGCATGATATTGATATGGCTTGGCACGAACGACAAGGTCGACTTTTGAAATTCTGTTCAAGAAGTGAATCAGTTCTTCGATTGATCCCGTATATACATAAATACACCTGCGCTTTCAAAAAAAAATTAAGATTTTGCTATTCACTCCACGTGTAGCCTATCGTTTGTTATTATACGAAATCTCGCGAAAAAAAAAGAAGAGGCCTCGTTGCGCTTCCCGCAGGACTGGAAATCTTTGATTTCCGAGGCGGCGCTCTCCGAAGAGAGTGAATAGAGAAGAAAGAACTTATACATACCTGGATTGCCACTGCCATTGCCGCCGCCACCAGTCACTTAACATAAGGGAAATTGAACATACCGAACCCGACGCTTGGCGCCGTAACCACTTTGCCACCGCGCGTCAACCGGCCTCGAGCCGGAAGACATAAGCGAGCGCCGAATTTGCATATATAAAACTTAATACGAGCGGGAGCCGCCGCTTGTGCGGGTCAACTTGGAACAGATTACGATTCGCGTCTTGACTGTTCTGCGCCACCGCAGCCGAAGTACTAGGCAGTGCCCCTTACGGAGCTTCGACATTGTGCCTTTCGTCAATCGTGTTGCTCTTCTCGGACATCCCCATAGCAGATTTGCGTCGGTTGGAGCTGTTCAAGACAGCCTGTCCTTGGCAAGCATTCAAAGGCTGGTATGAACTCAGCCGTGGACGCTTGTGCTCGTCCCTCGTAGAAGGAGCTGCAACGGATGCTGCGTCGCCACCAGCGTAGAGTCACCTCCACCAATGACTACGAGGGCCAGAATATGAACAAACAGAGGGCAAGTACGAGCTTCATACCGTACTGCTCAAGGCCTTCCAGCTTATACCAAGGGCGATGGTACGCTTGGTCTTGGTTGGGATGCACTCTCGAACCAACGATTTACGAGCCAATGCATACTTTCCCCCTTTTGCTCGGGCTGATCTCCTACTCACGGGCGCTCTCCAGCCGAGACACGATATCTTCGAGTATGGTCCCTGCGGAGGCTCTCGCTAATTGTTGCACGGCTGCGGTGCCACGAGAAAGCTATGCGTGACAAGAAAGGAACAGCAGGGGGCTGGTGGCACTGCATGAGCGAGCAAGAATGGATGCCATTGACGACACGGAGCTTGTGGAGGAGATGATGGATCAGAGACAACCTTTCATAATGCTGCAACTACGTGTTCTGCCAGTACGCGACTACATCAACCGTGTCACTGCTCCACTTATGGCGCCACATTGCAACGATGTGAGGCAATATACACGAAGACGGATACCAGGTATGCCAGTTCAATACTCCTGTAGCTATCGCGCAGCTCTATTT